CGCTCTGGCTACATGCTAAAATCTCTTAGGAATATTAGAGTTTTTCTAATGAGGTAGCACACTAAAGACATTTTAAAGACCATCTATGCCTCAAGTGATTTAGGCACATCAGACCTTAAACGTGTTTTGAATTTGGGAATTACTTTGAAACTTTAAAATGTTTTCAACAAGTTCTATTGTCTAAATACCAACATTTCATACCTCAGTGTTGGTTTATCAGCCACATTTCCTCCTAGGCAGAAGGTGCTGAGAGATAATCTCCTTTAAATGCCCGCAACCTAAAATACTGCCAGTACTCTGAAATACCAGAGCGTGTGCCCCAGAAGAGAATGCCAACTGTGCCCGTGTCACTCTGGCAGACACTGTGGCATTTTAGCATAAAATTCCCTCTCCAATGCAGCCAGACTGTTGGGCAAGCCAGACTGGTGAGGGACAGCCATCCTGCTTGGCACTACTGCCATGGAACAGGAATCTTAGCTGGTGGTAAGACTTAAAGCATTCAAAATAAAAAACTATGGGTGTATTTTTCCTTGCTATTTTCTTGTTTTCAAGTAACGTGAAAGAAAAAAAGATTGGTTTTGAAGCTGTGCTGTGGGTGCATCTTGTTCTGAATCCATGCAGTGGCTCCGAGGGCTCAGTAGCTCCAAGGAACTTGTTCAAACATTGAATGCTTTGAGGCCTGGAAAGGCCTGTGGCCTGACTTTTATATTCTGTACAAAATGCAGAAATTAAAAAAAAATATATTTTTTTAAAAAAGACAAAAGAGGACCTTGCTTTGAAATCATGCTGACAACATCCAAATAGCATAAATATTGTAGCTTTGTCACTTCCATCCTCAGTTACCGACGAATGGGTAACTACTTTGTTCAAACAACTTAGCAAGGCCTCTGATATCTCACTTTGTAAAACACGTAACACTGAATTAATGTGCAAACAGTGTTAACATGTGATAGGCAAAGAATCCTGAGCTGACATCAGGCACAGTAAACATTTTACATTTATGTTGAGTAAATCTTACCACTCCCTGTGGCTTGACTTCAATACAGATTAATCAAATTCATTTCAAACTCCTCCTTTTTGACTTCTGTTAAGCTTTGCTACTCTGACCCACTCCACTCATACCTCACAGCTTTTCCTTCTATACAGAACTTCCCATGGTCCCTATATCCATAAATGCTTAGAAAACTTACTTTTGTCACTGAGCCAGTGGCGCAGGCACAGTAACCCCCTTAGCCACATCAACGCTTGCAAACAGGCTAGACATCCATAAAACCCATTTCCAGTTTGTTCTGTTTCCAGAAATAAAAGCATTATTTACCCCAGTCAAAAACTTTTTCATTAAGGTAAGGCATAACTATTTTTCAAAATTTCAGATGCACTTAAAGGTTACATGATACATTGATTCTTCATAAAAAGCCCCGCACTTTAATGACTAATTGCTACATTGCAGCACACAAGGGATAATAAACAACCTTAAAACAACTGTTCAACTGGTCAATGTATAGAGAGAAAACATTTTATGGAAAATATATTCTTTCATATAAAGATTCTTCTGGCTTGTTTATCAGAGAGTATCAATGTGGCCTTACTGGAACTAATAGTGACTAAAAAAAGACACAGGTCTGCTTTCAAAGGGGCAAAAAGTGACATAAAATAGACAATTTCCATCCAAAAGAGAAAAAATATTGTACAGGATCTTATACTCAGAAATTTATTCCTGAGTGATCCAATAGACTAACAACAATCTGGGTTCATCTCTGTATTTCACAGCTGGGCATCATCCCACACAAGCCCCATACAGCTTCCTATTTAATAGTTACAGGTGTAAAAGCCAACAGATATATCAAAAGGTGACTTGATCCTGTGAACATGATGCAAGCTGGATATTTGTTAAGATTAGTTAACTCACTAAGGGAGTTATAATTTTGTGGTTTTTTATTTCTACATATCCGAGAGGCATATTACAGAAATACACAAGCAATCTGACCGGTCAGTCATAAATTACTTGAAGTTTTTAGAAAGAAAGGGAAATGAAAATTTTAGCATGGAGAAGCCAGGTTGTCACGGCTCACTGAGAAGAAAAATAAAGGATCATGAACTCGTGGTATTTTAAGAAGCTGTTATGGTTGGTGTTTTAGAAGTACTAAAGATGAAATACCTAAACAAAGGATTTAGGTGAGGGAGGAAAATAAGTAAGTAAATAAATAAAAGCGACTTTGCCAGCTTGTGCTCCTTAACCCCCAAAGAAGACTCAAACCTATCTGTCAAGCCACCACTGCTTTATACACATTCTCCCTCTGCAGCCTCTCTTTGTACCAGCATTTTCAGCCAGAATAGCCAACAAGTATTATACCACTCTGGTTACTCAAATAAGTAAGTGAGTTGTAAAAGAAACTTCAAATTTGGCAGTATAAGCAAAGTGAAAAACCGATGCTGAAGATGAACTGAAGATACAGAGCAATATCAAGAACATCAGAAATATGGAAATGCAACTGAAACATTTAGAAAGAAAGAAAAGGAAATCCCAGTACAAGCTACCAAGCTAATGACTTAAAATGTACTTCAGAGTCGAAAGAAAATTTTACAAACACACACACACTCAAGAATTGGCTAATACTTTTAGCTGAAGAATAGCACAGTGAACTTTTTAATATATTTGATAATTAGGGTTCCACAAGTAAGACAGTAAGTGTCCCATGGTCATTAAGTCGTGAGGTAAGAAGGAGGATGAAGAAAAACAACAGAGAAGAGAAAGAGTACAAGACTTCAGGTGGATGCCTTTGGTATGTAAGGACACACTCAGACAAAAGCACATCTATATGTATACATACAGAGGCATGCAAGGAGAGAGCAAGTCTGGCTATGATGATACAGGACAAGCAGAGAAAACAAACTACTTTGTGAAACACATTTGCATAGTGAAACAAATATCCAGCTCATCTGTTAATCCAAAAATAGTAATTTAAAAATAACCACTGACATCCACAATCTATTGTGAGTGTTCTCCAATTTGAAGAATAAATCAAAATAAAATCAAATAAAATACTAATCAGAAATGAGGCGTATTAGATCTGTAATATATGCAGGCTTCAGTGGCTTAGCATTTCCTAAGCCTGGATGACAGTGTATTTGTTTATGCATGGTATTATGGAAGAGTCATCTATTGAAGGTCAAATCTAGACAGATGTGTAAGGATTCAGAACGAACAACCAAGAACCCAGCATTTAACATAACTTTTTCTGCCATAGCAAAGGAAGTTATCTCGACAGAGATCCTCTTCTGCTTTGGTGCCAGGTAAGAAATGAATCCCTTTTGCATTACCACGTTGTAGTGTCTGTAGCTGATGTGTAGCGCACCACATCAGTTGCTGTGAGAAGCTAGGAACAAAACCATGAAGACCTACCGCAGAATTTGAACTACTTGCAAAAAACATTGATATATTTAGTAGATAAGCAGGAATTTAGATAAGGGCTACATATTACACAAATTTTTATCCTAAATACCTTCAGTATGTTTACACATACCATGTAGAATAAGGTACTACTGTGTTGCAATTACAAATGTATGCTAGGGTTTCACACTCCAAATTTTTTGTAACAGCTTAAAAACAAATAGCCAATAAAGCTCAAGCTGTTGCGCTATTGAACTTGTGCAGAACTCATTACAATCTGTTGAGAAGAAATCATTAGCATGCATGTACGTAATCAGTCAAAGTCCAAGGATCACCACCAGGCAGCAGTTAATCAGCCCCTTCAACGACGAGAAAGTTCAGGATGCACTAACTCCCTCCCTCTCCTGCAAACAGACATGCTTTTTGCCTCCCGCCTCACTTCTGTTTGAAAGGAAGGCGGAAGATAAGCCTGTCTGAACTGACATACCATGGGTTTCTGTAGGACTGGCTCTGAGCAGTTTACTAGGAAGCCTGAAGCAAACACAGCCAACTGATCAAGCACGCCAATGTACGTCCGACTACAAGGAAAAGGTGTCCCCATAAATACAGATCAAGCAGAGAACAGTGCAAGATGCTGACTGACAAGGAGGGAATGGTGCAAAAAAACCCCACAACACAATACCACACAGGCACATGTGAAATGCTCCTTGATTCACTTTCTTGTGATGGGTGGTGCTGGGGTTTATTTGCAGTATGAAGAAAGCTGATGTGTCTTTAGAAATACACAAATATACCCCACAGGTGTAACTTTCAATATTCTTCCCCAGGCAGTGCAAAGACAACATTTTCTTTACCAGCACAGTGGCACTGCTAGCAGGCTTGAGGGACAGACCAAGGAATTGCTGACATCTGTCTGGAGTCAGATACTGGAGGCCAGAGTGACTTCAGGAGAATATGCATCTCCTACAGCAAACACACAGTTGCCTTCAAAGCACAACTGGACAAAGCAAAACCATTCCTTGTGAGAGGGTACGAAACAGCAAGTCATTTGTAGTAGGTACTACCCTTATTTCTTGGTATGCTACTGAAGGACATGCTGATACTACATCTGAGAAGAGGTGAAAATAAGAGTAGAAAGGGGCTGGAAACCTTACTTTTTTGGAGTTGCACATGTCCTTTTTGCTCTTACCTGACTTATAACAACATGAAAAGCAATAGAGGACTTCAGGAAAAGTAATGAGTGACATACTAAGTGACAAAAAAGCTGCCTTATTCACCTTATTCTAAGGTGAATAAATGTATTTCTACAGACACTCTCGTATGTGCACTGCACATTACTTAAATTTCCTAATATAAAGAGTAGAACCAAGGATCTTATGTCAACATTTATGTAGCTGGAAAGACAAAAGCTGTGCAGCAATTGTAATAGTTCTGTGGTGAAGATGGTTTCAATATAACTTTTTCATATGCTCCAGTCACCAAAAAGCAGTTGTTTTACCTCTTAATATTCAGCAATGCCCAAGGTATCCCAGTGGGAGTGTTGAAAGCAGGTAGCAATTTCTCTCCAAGCTCTACTGCCTTCTTTCGGAAAACCTGGAAGTTAAGAAGAAACAAAGGGTTGGAAAATGCATTGTTGCTCCCAAGAAATTAATTTAAAGAATACCGTCATTGCACGTATGGCACAAGTCATCTCAGCACAGTGAAGCGTCCCTGCTTTTTTAGAGTGAAGCAGCACAACCTGTTTTCCATTACATACAGTAACAAGAGAACTCACACAGCAGGATCACACAGCGACGGTGCCCAGACGACCTGTGTCTGGCAGGACCAGCATCAAGCCAGAGACATCAGCACGGCCAGACCCACTCTGGTTTGTACAGAGCTGCTTGTGCGCTCCCCGCCGTGTCTGCCAGGTACTTTGGGGTCAGGGAGCGGGGCCGTTAGCCAGGCACGCTGCTGGATCCCGGCTGGCTTGCAGGCAGCTCCCAGCCCTGAACAACACCTCCTCTCAGAGCGCTGGGGATGCTGCCACAGAAATGCCGCCTTTGCTCCGCGTGAGGTTCATTAACAGCGGCTCAGTGTGCGGCGGGAACCCGGGCTGGATCGCCGTGTACCTGCCATACTGCGAATGCACTGCACAGGCAATCTGCAGAAAAAACAATGCCTCCCTGCCTCCACCCCCAAGATATTTTTGCAGCACCACAGTCCATATGGACTCAGCTGGCTTATACTGAGATGGGTATCAATGCCACGATTAATCAAAAAATTGGAATACTTCCCTTCAGATAAATGAGACTTAACTGATCTTTAGCATCTAAAGAGTTTCAGCTTTCATCTTAAACACAACAAGCAAAAAGACCCCAAATGCTTACCATAAGCCCACAAGAATGACAAACAATTTAACATCAGGAACTTTTATGTCCAGAGTAATAGTTATAAAGCTAGAACAAAAAGGATTTTGCTCTCTTTCAACTGCCAGCTCAGCTCAGGTTACAATAAGCTGACTTTTTGAGCACTGAGTGCTCTAGTAAGAGAGTTTTTAATTAGAAGCAATATTGTTCCATCTTAAATATAGAAACCTATTTAGCAATTTCAATAGGTGGATGTTCAGGGCCTATTTGCTGGGAATTACACTGGGATCCTGTGCAACACTGAAAGGGATTATCCCAGGTGTAGTAGCCAAAATAGCAAAGTCACCTTCGTTGTTCTCTCCTTCTAATAATGGCTCCCTTCAATGCATTTTTTTTCCTCTCGGACATATTTATCATGAATTTTTATTTATGTATTAGAAATCAACTTGTACATCTGATGCATCTTGTGGTGTAGCCAAGTACAGTACAGCAAATTTTCAGAGAAGAAAAAAAATACATACATGTTTATGTGAATACATAAATACAGACATTTGCTGGTCTAAACAAGATAATGAAGAAATCTATTTCTACACCAAAAAAAATACAGTTTATAAAATCCTACTTTCTAAAACCTACTTTGAGGAAAGGATTTTGTTACTGAAAAATACATGTTCAGGACAGAATATAAAACTCTGGGATAATCACATTACAATAAAGAAGCTCCAGGCTACTGTCATATGACACAGATCTCAAGACTCCTGTGACAACAATCCAAGATTCAGAATTACAGTACAAGATATTTTGAGGGAGGTTACGTAATTTGAAGCCAAATTATGGCTGGAGTCAGAAAACTTTTTTTGAGTGGATTGCATGAGTGCCAGGAGAAACTCTAAGCAAGGAAGCAGGGAAAACAACTTGCTTGGAAAACTCTTCATAATCCACATTACTTCTGCTTCCCTGTTTACTGATTATGTGGATTCTGCTGAGAATTAGTCATGGATTTGTGATCTTCATCCACGATGTAACTCAGTCTCCCCAAGATTTAAAACCTTTAAAACACTCAGAAACAGTTGATGCAGAACATAATTGTCTCTTAGTAGATTTCCTTGAAAGGGGCAAGCGACAGTAACCCCCCGAGGAGCACACAACCTTTCCCCTTGTTACATTACGCAGCCACATCTTTTCACTTTTGTCTGTTGAACCCAAACCTATGCTTTGCTCTTTCAGCACAAGAAAGGCCTCCTCAGCTTTTCAACTCATCAGCTTCCCTTAGCATCTCTAACAGGAGAGTGGTTATGATGACCCTCACAAGCAATGGGCACACAAGGACCCCGAATTTCTGCAGATGCATATTCTGCGCAGCATAAAACCATATCTTTTGTCACGTGTAAAGGGGGCAGATATTTTATTTTATGCAATGTGGTTGAAGATGCCATATGTACTCTTTTTAGATGTGTATTTAAGGACAAGAGGAGATCTCCCTTTCAAAAAGCACACACACATTTAACCATAGCAGTGGCAGCAAGGCCTACTAACTGCTGTACCTTACAGGCTGTATCAATCCTTCATCATTAAAAAGATTACATGCAAACTCAGAAAGAGGTCTTTACAATAATTGCTTCTGGACAAAAATGTAACATTTTAG